CCCCAAAACCCCAAAACCCCAAAACCCCAAAACCCCAGGAGTGAAAATACTCAAAATCTATGCGATGATAAATATAGTCAAATAAACATTCCTTAGTTAGTAATTAATATTATGATGTCACTAAACCCAAATAAGTTAAGATTTATTTACTTGATTGCTTATCTCTACGATACTAGAAACCTATGGGAATTTATAGTAGTTAAATTCAGGACTTGCAACATAACTTTTGACTCCCACGACAGCATGAGTTATCATGAGCTGGAATCAAACTTGCTCTATTTCTTTGTGTAGCCTTGGTAGGACTTGTAGATTATTATAAGTTCATTCCCCTGACTGTAATTTGATTTCCCTTGTCAGTCATTTTTAAGCTGAGAGTGCGGAATGATTCATTTATCAGCATTCCAGTTCTTGCTGATGTCTCTGAGAATATCACATCTCTATGATTAGCTTGGAAATCCTCAATCTCCTTATTCGATACTTGCTTTAACTCAATGTCTCTTTTATTCCCTAGAACCATTATAGTAGGATTCTCAATAGTCGCATTTAGTTTAATTTACTGCACCCATTTATTGATGTTTTCAAAGGACTCCTTGTTTGAGAAGTCAAACACACAGACGAATCCTGACGCACCTCTCTCAAGTATGTAAACAAAATATGTATAGCTTACTTGAAATAGCTGCTCACAAGACTATTGAATCTGTCTAAACCTGCTGTGTCAAACTGTAAAATGTGTATTAACAACATGCATAAATAATTACTATCTGCAGATTCACTATTTTATCTCCAATCCTCATCTTTTTGAAACTCTATATATAAGGTAATCATATTGCTTCTAATTTTACAAAGTCAAATCCGAGTGTAGGTTAATGCTCCAATATAAATGACGAATCCTAGAGTTAATGAAATCATGACATTAACCTTACTACTAATCTATGAACGATACTTGTCTTGCCCACTTTGCTATCACCAAGCAGTACAACTTTAAAGAGGTAGTCTGAATTTGAAGAATCCCTTCTCACCTGTGCTTGAATTCGACTCTCAAGCACTGTCGATTCATCACTGCTTGTATCGTATAATAAATTTGATCTTTTTTTCATTACTTTTTATAATAATTATATCTTTAATATATATTTTTATTATATAAATCAACTCACTTAATCGTAAGTTGATACTGTGGGGTTTTGGGGTTTTGGGGAGATCGGAAGAGCA